GAATTTCGACAAAGGCGACAATTCGAAATTAATGTCGTCTACACGATAGGTCTTATTAAGTGAGTCTTGCGTTCGTTAGCTACCGGCTTGACCTGTTCTGAAGTATTTCGAGAGTGTCTAATAGCGGAAAAAGAATGGATAAATTCTCTTGCCAAAATAGCAGCAAGCGAAATGTTTTTTGGTCGTATGCTATACTTTTCTGGTCGTATGCTATACTTTTCTGGTTGTATACTATACTTTTCTGGTTTTATACGATAATGCTTTTTGCTTTGTTTACTATGTAATGGAATTTTTTTTTTATTTGCGTAAACCATCAATTTTTTTTTTTTTTTGTACAATTTATTTAATCTATTTATTTATAATATATTATTATTAACATTTTCTGGTTGTAAGTGAACCATTACCTTCAAAGTACCATCTGCTTGGAGTTTCGCAGTTTCAAAAGCAAGAGATATTTGCTCCAACGGGAAGTGATGTGATATAATGGCTGGTAAACTTAGTTCAAAGGAAGCAGCCATAGCCAAAGCTATAGGATAACTGTGATATGATAACTGTAATGAGAAAGCTAAACCTACGGATTCGTTAGTGTTTTACGTACTCATTGCGATAATTAACAACACCCAAAATATCGACTTCTCTGGACATGGCGTCTATTAAAGGTAATACAATTTTGCCATCAGGTACTCCTACCAAAGTGCACATACCTCCCGGACGGGTTGTCTAAAAATGAGAATATTACTAACAAAAAATGTATTTAAACACTGGGTATCAAGCTTACGTAAATAGCTAACTTCAACGACTCTATGGTTCCCACACAATCGAAGCATTTGTCGGGTATGCAGCCCATAGTTGCATGTATACTTTGAGCTAAATCCTTTGGATTGCAATTTTCGTTCAGATGCAAAGTGTCGGCGCCAAAACTTTTAGCAATTTCTAAACGATCCTTCTTCTTGTCGACTATTAAAACTTTTGAAGCTCCGATCGATGTGGCAGTTGCTAAAGTTGTCAAGCCGATGGGACCACAACCCAAAATTAATACTTCGGATCCTAAGCCAACTTTAGCACGTCGACAACTAGCCATACCAACGGCTAAAGGTTCTAATAGAGCACCCTCTTCCATAGTGACATGATCGGGTAATTTATAGCATAAATGAGCGGGATGTTTGGCGTAACGTGTTAAGAGGCCATCGTTGGGCGGGGTAGCGCAGAATCTTATGGACGGACATAAGTTATATTGACCCGAACGACATAGCTGACAGTGACGACAAGATTCTCCAGGTTCGACTGCCACGCGATCACCTTTACGTAAATGCTGAACCTGTTTGCCAGATTCTACAACAATACCCGACGCTTCACGACCTAATATCATCGGCTCTTCGACTACGTAAGGGCCTGCTCTGCCCTTTTCCCAATATTCAACATCGGTACGGCAAATGCCCACGCAATCGACGGCCAAGAGCACATCTGACATTGAGAAAAAGCAATAATGAATATTCCGAATAGTTCGATTAGAAAATTCACCTTTCGGTCCAATTTCCGGCATGGGTCGTTGTTCTAATCTTAAATCATTTATGTCATATAGAACGGCAGCTAAATTGTCTTTGTTTTCCCCTTGGCAGGATTTTATAAAATTTTTTATCTGATTTCCTAAAGTTTGATCCGATTGATCTAATTTTTGCTTAGTCGCCTCGTGACATCTCTTAATTCCGGGATGTAATTTTAAATGTTTAATTAAATGTTTACTTACGAAGCGAGAAAACATAATTTTTTTTGAAAAAAAATAGATTTTGAAATTCCGTTAATAATATCAAGAAAAAATATTATGAAATGTGATTTTTAATGTTTTTGTCTGTTTTTTTTTTTTTTTTTTTTTTTTTTTTTTTTTTTGAAGGGTGCATAGCTAAAAGAATGTAGAGATAATTTTTTATGTAATTTATTTTGTAAGAAGATTTTTCAAAAATCATTTCAAATCCATTCACTCAATCCATGAGCTCACCTATTTCGTTTGTTATATTGTGTGAAAGTTTTCTTTGGGTTAGGGTTATGTGTTCTCTCATTCGTTGACTTTATTGCAATATATGAGAAGTTATTTGGGCTAGGCACAAGCTTGACTAGGATGAGTGACGTATTGGTATTACATAACAGAAAAAATTACAACTTGCATTTATGCCTTGAAGCGATGTGAGAGCTTAAATGAACATTACGTAACTAAATTCTTTCAAATGTGGTCGTAAATCAAAGAAGACAAGAATAATTTGTAGTAGGTGTCAACAAACTAGGAGAAAAAAATGTTTAAACCTTTTATACGATTTTTCTTATCACTCCTTACTTCGTCTTACTTGTTTGTACCTGATTTCGTCTTAACTTATCTACTAGGAAAACAAATAAGGAAACTATAGTCGGGCAAAACCAACCCTTTGATACCCTACACCACTTTGCCTAGTACTAATATTTATTAGTTTTGATAATAACATTCCAAAAATTACATATCTTCATGCGAAGGTATACTTTTCATGAGTGCCCGCATATTGGAGGACGCCCGAAACATCACATTATACGATCCAAATTTTGCAAACTTAAGATATTTCTTAAAAATGTCATTATTTTGAAGTTTCGTTCCTAAAAAACTAGAAATTAGATTTGCTCTGCTTATAAAAGCTTGCGTTTAATGATAACCCCCATATAGGTTAGGATCTAAGAAGTAGAGCTATTTGATTTAAATTCCTTAGATTGCTGCTATGGACTAATTTTCTTTGTAAAATATTAAAAATTAAATTTTTTTGCGAAAAGCTTACTTTTTAAAGGAACCCTTATATGGGATGGATGGAGTCCAAGAAACACATCCGTCCGGTTCAAATTTGGTCCACATAATTGTTATGTCAAGTTATTTATGTGGATAAGTTTTTATCATATCATTTAATATGAAAAATTAGCTATTTTTTCCATAAAAGGGCTCGAGAATATCCCCTCCTAGGTCCAAAAATTACACACATGTAATGTAATACGATTTTCCAACGGTTAATGTTTATGTCAAATGGACCCATTTGCATTATAAACTATTAAAAATTAAATCTTTCTGCCAAGGATTTTGCTGTTCCTGAGAACTCTGGGATTCAAAAAATCACGAAAACCCTTAAATGGGGTACTGTGTAAAAAATAAACCTACTTCATCCAAATTTGATACAGTTAAGTTTTACATCAAATTACTTCTATTTTGCAGCTTCCGTCATAAAAAACTGGAAGTTAGATTTTGTCTCCACATAAGAATTCCGTCTTTTTATTATCCTTATATAGGTTAGGATTGAAAAAATAAACCTATCTGATCCAAATGTCCTACCATTAATTTTTTTGTTAAATTGATACAGTGAACCAATTTTTATCTTAAAATATTAAAAATTAAATCCGTTGCTGCTGCTGAGAAATCTTATATGGAGTAGAATCTAAGAAGTATGCCTACTTGATCCACCTAATTTTGATATAAAATTTTCATCGAAATACTAGAATAATTAGATTTGGATGTTGTTTTTATCCCAAACTTCGCTCGCATCCACATATGCTCTCGCTGATCAATAAAGCCAATAGTACTATGGGATTTATCAAGAGTTAGTCTAAAACTGAAAAGAGGGTAATTAAAAGTTTACCAATCGTGTTGATTAGGCCAATTCTAGATTACACGACAATCGTGTGATCCTCAAGTTACAATTATGATATTATTCGCTAGTATGGCAATCCAATTGTATTCCACTCCAAGTTTTCTCTCGCTTGAAACTGATTACTTTTGCAGTTCTTTATAACTGAAGACATACACTTGGTGTCGCCGTTGTGGTTAAATTTTTTAATAGTATAATCTCGTCATTCGATTTAGTTGGCGAAATTAACTTTAACATCCGACAGCGAGTATCGAGCCACATCATCTCAATAAACTTACCGTTTTATCACTCCAACTGTGAACTTTTTAAACCCTTTAACGTTACTTGTGAAAACACTAATGGCTATTATCATTTATTTTCTTTCTCTGATTTGTTTAGGCGAATTAAAATGTTACTAATCCACTCATCATAAATGTAAAATGTACTACTTTCTAGATCGTATTTATATAAATGGTATTGAATGGGTATGTAAACGACACTAGGTTTACTGCCTTTTATTATCATTAATGAAATGGATAGTATTCGTTTAAACTTAGGTTATAAGGTAAGTAACTTCAAGCTTAAGGCTGTCTTGTGTTAGCCAAATGAAAAAATAAATGTATATTTTATTCTGTTGTGGGCAGTTCGAGACCTATTTGGCATCTAAATATTTCGTGCTTTCTTCTTCAGAATCTTTGTGAAACTATTCTTCTTGGGTTAAGGGATTTCCGCGATGCTTACATTTATTTCATAGAGCGATCAGCATTAGTTTAGGAAATTTGAAATTAGGTTTAACTTTTGACACATGGAAACTATCCTAGGCCATAGATGTATGCAGAGGCAAAAAAGCATCAGCATAACCTATTGCTACTATGTTCTCAAAACCTAGTACTTCTCAGTGTAAGGAAAAGACGTGTTTCTTTCGATCCCTTACCAAGCTACAATTAAAGTTTCAACTTTTCCTAATCGTTAAGTCGCATAAGATTTATAACGTGGACCACGAACTATCATCTTACTCCGCTTAACCTTGTTTTACCTCATCTTATTATACTTGCTTATATTATCTCATTCATCTTTTTCTATCTCACTTTCGCTTGTTTATATTTACCCTAAGTTGTCTCCTGAGTGATAATCACTGAAGCTGAAAATGAACTTTCGCTTTTGTATTCGTCCGTTTACAAAAGCGAAAGCTAAAATTTTCGTCTGACTTTTTCTTACCATATTTTGCTTCGCCGTACGATGCTTATATGCCTAATCTTACCTTACCTTTCTATTTCTATCTTTAACTTACCTTACTCTCTATATCTTATCTTACTTTCTTTTACTTACATTTACATTTAGCTTAGCTAAGCGTTTCTTACGATACTTTGCTTTACCAGGCCCCATGCTATTGTATTAGTTTACCTTATTTTAGGCTTCTTACCTTACTTTACTCTCCTCATTTTGTGTTAGTTTATCTTACAGTACGTTTACCTTATTGACGTTATCTTATTTATTTCCCTTATTTTGCTTTACGTTATTATAGTTAACTTTTTCCTACCTTCGCATGGCTTGATTTATCTTATTTACCTTATTTTAGCTTCTTCTACATCACTTTACTTGGCAGCACAAATTGAAGAGAAGGCCATATTTAAATCAAGTGAAAAGGAAACATTTTTATCAACATATATGGAAAACAGAATGAATTTTCCTCTTTTCTATGTGCAGCATAAATCATTATGTTTTCGATATTGAAAAACAAAGATATACTCAGTTCATATTTTCATATATAACTATTAAAATATAATAGGCACAGACCCCGTCAAAATATAGACTTTGACTCCGTTAATTGCGTTTGTTTATTTGTTCGCTCGTCTTTTGTTGTTGAGGCCTCATCAACGGGACGAAAATTCAGATAGAAAATGGAAACTTGAGGAAAAGGTTCTTGGCTTATGTGCAGAAAACAAGGTTGAAAAAAGGAACCGACTACATTAAGGCAGATATTCGTCCGAAATTTCATAAAAATATCGGCCATCATTTTCGAAAAGTTGGAAGCTTGACCATCGATAGACCGGCAATGTTAACAAAATGCTTTAAGGGTTTTTAAACATTCGCCTGAGAGGATGAAATCTAAAGCGCGATATTAATGTTCATATTCAGCGGCAATGAATAACGTCGTACCAGATGTGTCCTTTCATGCAGAATACCCACAAAATGTCATTAAAGATCTTCTGAGATACCTTCATGAGCAACATAAGATTCTAAGTCGATTTAATCATGTTTGTCGGTCCATCCTTCCTTCGAGCAGCGATCAATGAACTCATATTAGATTTGTCCGTTCATTTAGAACACAAAATGTCATTAAAGGTCTTCTGAGGTACCTTCATGAGCAACAAAAAGTTCGAAGATTGTCCGTCCTTCCGCCCTTGTTTGATTTATCGTCAGGATATTTAAATTGGAGTTTAAAACTGAAACTTGACTAATGTAGCAAATGTAAACTTCGTTGATGTCTAAAGGATAAGTATGAGAATGTGATTGATCTGTTCTCATTTCCAAAACACTATAACTTATTGTTCATGTACAGATGATGATCTGAAAACCGTTTTATGCATTTAAGAGAAGCATTTAAAATTTCTCCGTAAGATGCTGGCCACGTGCACGAAAGCTATAAAAAAAAAAACGCAATTATGCATAGCCTATGGAAGAATTGATTCGTAAATGTCGTTTTCATATTTCGGAAAGTTGGCCACTAAGTCTATGTGCAAAGGATTTCAGGCAATCGACGTGTTAACTGTCTAGTTGAAACAATTATTTTCCAATTGAAAATTTATTACTTATAAGGTATCAAAGATTCGTTATATAGTGAAATGTAACTCATTCACCTTATTTGCATTTCCATTAAATTCTCATACATATATCACCTTCTCCTCTAACGCTAAATATAGGCATTAAGCTCTTTGCTCTTTGAATAATAACAAAATGACTAACGGGACGAATGAGTAATATGTAATAATTTTGCTTATATTCATTCTCGCCTACTCGGCTTTATAAAGAAAAAAAAGAATTTAATAAATAAATCACTTACTAATCCATTGTGGCTTTTATTAATGCACAGTTTGAAAGTACATCAATAGCAAAATGAGTATCAAAGTTGTTTGTTGTCTAAGGTTAACCATAATTACTAGATAAAACAAAAAAAGAATATTTTAAGAGAAAAAAAAAAAAAAATTAAAAAGCAGAAAATTTAGAGAAATTATATTCGCCTTCGAATAGCCTTCACTGTGGCTATGTTTTTAATATCCTACGTACCTTGTCGTACAGACGTACGCAACAATACAAAGAGCTTAAAATAGATCCATCCTGTATTATACCGAACGATTTGCAAAATGGCTCTGAATCAATTTAACCATGTCTGTCCGTCTGTCCGTTTTGCTTTCAACCTTCAAATTACAATTTTCGTTCAAATTTGGTGAATTTGATGCACTGACGTGTTTTTTGACGCAGAGAAAATCTTATTGAAAATCGATTGGATCGAAACATTTACGCGACTACTCTCTTTATAAGGCATTCTTTTAGAAGAAGCCTTTATGTGAAAAAAATTGCAATTTGCAATATTTTTCGGCAAAAATCGTTGAACAATAGTATTTCGGGATATTAAATTTGATGCTAGGAGCGAGGGTTTTTTTCCGACCACCCTTCCTCTAAGCGTTCTAATGTAAAGTAAGATCTCTTATGGCAACAAAGTTTAATTTTGAGTACTTTATGGCGAAAATAGCTGAATAAACTTTGACAAGTAAATTAATTTTGCCAAATTTAGACTCAGTTTATATTGTTGGTCCCTCTTTCGTATGAGAGCTTCATTCGCCTTTAGATGTAGACGAGTAATTGTAAAATAAGGTAATATTTGTGTAGAGATAGGTATTTTATTAGGAAAATAAATGCAAAACTTTACTAGGCAAAGCGATGTGGGGATCAATATTCCACTAGAACCTTCATAGCTATTTGATTCATACGATATCGAAAAAATTTTTTTTCTAACTTTCATTTAGTTACTTGGAAATATTTATAATAACTTACTCATCAATCGATTTGAGATATGATCAGCTTTCATCGAATCATTCGATTTAGAAGAATTTACTGAATAAATTGAAATCTGTCTGTCCGTCCGTCTTTGTATAGCAAGAAAATATCATTTATATTATTTCTAGCGAAACTTGGTCAAGAACAATGATTCAAGACATAAATGTCGTGGGGTAAGTGTTGGCCACGACGTGTATACGTTTCGGACGGATCGAGTACTGTAGGCCGTTCAGGGAAACTTTTTCTTTTACTCATGCAAAACTTTTCATGCGCAGTAAGCTTTTTTAAAGTCCTGCGATTTTCATGCTTTCATGCGATTTTTTTTTATTTTTGCTTTGTGCGATTTTTTACTGCCGTATATGAATACCTCTCTTTTATTCGTAAACAATTTCATAAGTTTTCTTTTGAATTCGCTATACCTCCCATTGATTTGCAAACAATACGTAAAGAGATTCTGTTCGACATATATCAGTTCGCCGTGAGGTTAGAACTCAAAGATGTTGGCATCAAATTCTTTCCTACCAGTGTTTATGTATATATTGTATCAGTCATTCATACACTAGTACTTATTGCATCATCTAATAATATTAATTAATTACCGATCATGGAAGTGCGCGCGTACATATCTCTTGAGCCTTAAATCACATTATTGAAATGATGACAATCGAACGAGGACAAAACGTACGTACAATGTAAATGATAGTGACATTATCGGTAATTGAATAGATCTTGAACTCGGGAAAAAAAGATCAGATCCTAATGACAGCGGATAAAATATACGTAATGAAGCCAGCTTTGCAGCAAATTGGAAAACTATTTTCTTTAACAAAATCCCAGTTTTGGTAGATTGTGAGGATATTTCTGGTCGGACAGACAGACAGAGCTTAATTGTTTGGGAATTTTTGAAAGAACAAGTATTTCATTTAGCCAAGTTCTGTCATCTGTTGATGAATATAAACTTTGACATCAATCTGAGTGATATCCAGTCATAATTTACTTGAAGTCTTTGAATTTTGAAGAAAAAAAAAAAGTTTGCTTTTTTCCCTTTTGATAACTTAATTAGTTTACAACAAACCCTGAAGAGAACATAAATCAACTTTACAGTGTGAGAAAAAGTTTAAAAACCTCAAACACACATGATCCCTAGTGTAAATAATACAATACGGATGAGTATTTGCGTTTGTTGTACAAAACTTTGTTAAAGGCAAACAATTTTTTTTTTTTACTTGAAAAGTTTAGTAAAAGTCACACAAATTCCTTTTTTTTTTTTTTTTTTTTTTTTTTTTTTCTCATTTCTTAAGAGAGAAATTAAATGTTCTCTATTTACATTAAAACACAAAATAACTTTTATAATAAATTTCGTTTGTGTAGGTGTGAGTGCGCCTTTGTAAGCATATATATATATATATATATATATATATATGTGTGAGTGTGCCTTTTTAAGTGTAAAAGTAAAAGTAAAATTTTATATGTCATAGAAATTGAAGGAAAATTTTTGCGCTAAAGGCAATATTAACAAGTTATGTTATGTGTATGTATGAGTAGATATCTCTTTAAAGTGATTTAGTGGCACATATATAAGAGGAAAAATAACTAAAGTGCGAAGGGGACGGGGGACAAATCATCATCCAGCTGCTGGATTGTTAGGATAAGAAAATGTTATAGAAAGCAAATATTTAAGTTATTTTAAAGAATATGAATAAAAAAAAAAAATTCTTTGGAAAATATAAGCTAAAGCTTAGGTGTTACATAGCGGCAGAATGAGACCTGTAGAGATCTACACAAGACAAAGGAAAATTTTGCAAAAAAAAAAAATCCTGCTTTTGAAATGATAAGTATTTTAGGATTGTATTCTATTAAATTGATGTTTTTCTTCCTTTTCTTCTGTTGTTGTTGTTGTTGTTTTGCGTCCACAACAAAGAAAGACAAGATTTTGCTTGCAGTGTTTGCAACGTACACAAGTCAATATTAATGCGTAAAAGTTGCAATTATTAACATAAGCATAAGTGCCGTACTTTCGATGAAAATTATCGGAAGAAAGCGTCAGAGATTTCTTTAAAAATGAGTCACCTTTGCAGTCTGTGGCTGTATATAGGAAGAAAGGAAGGTGGAAACAGTTCAGTGAAGTAGGAAAAATTTTGATTGATTTTCACAAAATACGTCAGTCGCGGTGGGAGAACAGCCTGTTTTATCAGCGTACCCCTCATTCCGCCGCTAATCAATGCGTCCCTTCTTCATTTAGCCGATAATTGATCGTTCGTTTGTTTAGCTATCGCACAGTAGGTTTGCGTTTGTCTGTTCCCCCGTACGTCTGTGTGTTTATCAAG